TTTTTTTTTTCCTGGTCTTTGGCTTATCTTTTAACAGTGTCTTTTGTAGAGCTGAAATCTGTAGTTTTGATCAAGTCCATTCTTAAATTTATTCTTTTCTGGATTGTGCTTTTGTTGTAAGCAATTTTTGCCTAATGCAAGGTTAGAAAGGTTTTCTCCTAGATGCTTTTCAGTTTTGGATTTTACATTTATATCTGAGATCCAATTTGAATTTTTAGTGCAAGGTATGGATTGAAGCTCAATTTTATTTTTTTATTTTTCAAGTGGATATCAAACTGTTCCAATATCATTTGTTGAAAAGATGAAGTTACAACATTTTTCTACATCCATCATAAGCATGTTCACTTGACATTCTGTTGGGAACTCTTAAACTGCTCCATTTTAATGTAGAATATGAACATATGCAAATGAATATATGAGAATTTATTTTAAGCATACACAAATGAATATATGAGTATTCATGTATTGGTTTACAAAGGAAAGAAAGAAATGGAAATAGATGCTATAGTGTTTTGTTTTTTTGAACAATAAATCACTAGTTGAAAACATGCTAGTAGATTAGATGGATATTGGTATATATAGTAATAAGCAATACAGGAAGCAGAGCAACTAATTTGGGGGAAGAGAGATATGTTTTTGCTTTTGGTTTGAGAGTCCTGTGGAACACGATAGCAGTGCCTTAAATATAAAGTTTGTGTAGCAATAGGCTAGTAGTCAGCTAACTGTTAACCTTTTGCATAGTTGGAAAGTGTAGTTCTATTTGGCACCCAGACTCATATGCGCTGATTAAGGTTAATATTGGCCACTAGCCAGTAGACCAGGACCCATTGGTTGTTTTTGGAGATACACTAATTAAATTGTCAATTTAATTGTCCCTACCTCACTCTCTGTTCTTTGCCCCAGCTCTGCCAACATTTTGAGTTGGGAAAGGGATACAACATCTCTTTTTTATTTATGATCATCACTATATTCCCTGTAGGAGATACTTCGGTAGTTGTGAAAAGTGCTTTCTCCTAAACTTTTTGCAATGTCTTTGTCTTTTCCCTTTTTTCTTGTGACACCGAAAAGATTAGGGGTTAGGGTTGGGTGCATTCTGGGATCATAAGAATATTTATTCAATCTGGAAAAAGTTCAGCATTCATCCAATCTGGAAAGAATTGAGCAATAAAAAATGAGTTAATCAAATTGCTCTAACCAAAACTTTAACAATAATACTTAGTGAGATAATGTTTTCTGTTGTGGCATTAGATAAAATAGTCCAAACTCTAATCCCAGAGTAATACTTGATTCAGTACAGGATAATAGATTTATTTCCATTATGATAATTATTAGTTCTTGTATTCTCTTGCCTTTTAAAAAATAAATTGTTTCTCATCATTTCCATTATAATATGGTTACTGATAGTTTTATCTACGAAAACAAAACAATTTCAATGTAGTATTTGTAGTGGATAAATCACATGCTTTATTAAAGAAAAATAAAGCAGCTTAAAATACTTAGAGACTTAGTTCATATCAACATTAAACAAATGATAAAATGCTGTTAAAAATTTTTTTTTGTAGTATGTTT